CTATTACCAAATTGCGTGAAACTCCAGAAAAGGATACTACAACACCTATTCACGTCCGAGGTTGGGAAAGCTTGGTGTGTATCAAGTGGTTACCGGATGGCTCCTCTGAACTCTTTCTATTTGGAACACCGTACACTCCCGAAGACCTTGCGCGCGTGTATTTTACAGCTATCACCTCTTTTCTTGGTCTCCTGATGCTAGTGATTATTTGTGGCCCTCTGCACTCCTTTATTTTCGTTGACCTCCCCACTCGATTTCCCTCCCTACCTATATCCCCTCTCGTCGGTGAATCTGTCACGACAACAGCTCATCTACCTCCTAGAACAACGACAGGCAGTACCGTGGAAACCACATCGCTCATGCCTCTCTCCGTAAGCGACCTGATCTTGCCTGACTGTACTGGGAAAGATTCGTTCGACGTAGATACCTATATCTCGAAGCTTACCCGCCGCACTGAGAAACAAGGGGGTGAACCGGATAAATTCCAAGTGCATGTTATTGGTGATTGCCATGTTATTATAAGACTTCCACCACGCCTAGCCTCACGGCGTAAATCTCCAAAGTTTGATGTAACGGTAACCAGGACCAATCAACAGATTCCGTTTGACCGGGCCCGCCTGTTTGACGGAGTATATACTCTACGACTGCCCAGGGAAGACGCATATGGACCTATGAACATTTCTATCACCACGAAATCGAAACCCATCATCGAACAGGTTACGGAGGTCGATTTTGGAATGCCTTGGCTGAAGATCGCAAACTGGAAAAAGGCCGCCCAGAAACTCTCTGCTCAACTCAAAAGGGATCTCAACATCGCCTCTGCAGGGCTGACTGTTGTATATAACCGGATGTCTGCAGATTTGCTTGAAAGGAGCGATGCTCTACGAGGGGAAACGGAATCAGTAGGTCGGGCCTCGTTGCAAAGGGCACTGGAAGCCACGAACGTGATACTAGCCAAGTCAAAACAACTTTCCGACGAGGTCACGCGGCTCACACAGGATGGGTTGATGGCTTCTACAGCCTTACTCCGCCAGAAACTGTCCACTGTGAACACAGATGTCGTGCAATTCGTGAATGAAAAGCGGTATACGATCGAAAAGGAGGCGAGGAGACTATTCCAGTATCCCGCATCTGTGCATGACTTCAACTTCGCTCGGCGCCTCACTGATAACGCACAACGAGTGAAAAGGTCTCCGGGAATGGCGGCGGCGCAGAAACACGCGACGCATTTATGGCAGCTGCTGCGATCTGGGCCTAACAACGAACTGACGAACGCTGTACGTTGGCCTAAATGCGAGACGGGGAGACGCCAGAAAGTTCGACGTGGGAAATTACATGTACATGGGCGTACACATGGTTCTTGGGGCTGTGGGCGCCGGTGATAAAAATACCCTTTTCGTCTGCTTTCAACTTCTTCCATTCGCTGGTATTTTCATTCCATATCTGTCTCTTCTGTTTCTCCTTTCTCTTTTCTCTTTCTGTCATTTTTGTCAGGTAAATGGTGAGGTTTCAGCGACTTCTTTTATGCACAGATTTAATAAGGACTGGTTGGTTTTTCTGGGGAGGAATTGGGGGCCTGGAGTTTGGGTTGGGTTCGGTTCGCTCCCATTTAATATTTTATGCTTTTTGATCTTATTCCCCACTCCCATTCAAGCAGGCCTGCGGGATAACAACGAGGGAAATGGATGTTGATGGGCATTGTACTTTTCTTTTCCGAAGGCTCACGGAGGATGGAGGTAGGAAGCAATATCTGAGTCCCTGTGTCCAAGCTTTGGGTCCCTGAGTGAGAGAATAGGGCAAGGTTCAATGGTCATTTTAACGGACGGCGTTGGCAGTGGTTTGTATTCCCTGGTACCTCTTTTTTCTTCTTTCTTTTCAATCATTGACACCCGCATTCAGCTGGCTGGGAGATGGCGTGGGAAGGACAAACGAACAGTATGACGGTCGATGAATATGACGATGTTGACGATGTGGCGGGACAGGGTTTGGGAGGGGAGCTATTTTCTTCTCCTTTTCTTCTTGCTTTTTTTTTTTTTTTTTTTTTTTTTTTTACATATTGATTTGATAGTGTTGAGTACATAAAAATATAAAAATCTACTCCGTGTGTAGTACAGTAACTAGCTATCTCACTCATTCAAAACATTTCATTTGTTTGGCACGGCTTTCTTTTTGTATGTAGTTAATTGTATTTAACCTATTTGAATATGTGGAATTGTTCTCGATAAAATATTAGTATTCAGCCCGTAACGGTGGTGGGGTTGTCTGAAATATATAGAGATATTTAACACGGCTCAAGCCACACTTTAAGTTACCCCTCCACACCACACCGAGAAACAAAGGATGAAGGCGGAAGGACAGAAAAGATCCCAAAATAAAACTGATGCTAGTGCAGACCTGGCTAATAAATAATAAATAATAAATAAATTATAATAAATAATAAATAAGTAATAAAAGTAAGTAATAACCTCTGATCGTCCCAGCCCCCCAACCAGCCAACCACAGCGCCCCGCAGACCCTCTTCACCCCTCACTCTCTGCCTGGAAACTCCCTCACCTCGACCTTTTACAACTAACTAGTTAGTTACTCTACTACTACAACTTCAACCTTCAACTGCATCCTTTCCTCCCACCACCACCACCACCACCACCACCACTCCATCAATCCAACAAACGTCCTTGAAAATATAAATACCACTACCACCACCGCGCACCGCAACCATGACTGACCTCACCAACCAAAAGCCCGAAGACCCCACCCCCACCACCACCGCCACAACCACCGACGAGGCCGCTGCCGCCGCCGCTCCCGAGACGGATCAGAAAACCGAAGAACTCAAGGCAGACACAGAACAGGCCGCTGACGCTCCTGCCGGTGATGATGGGGACGTAAAGAAGGACGAGGCGGTGGCAGACGTCAAGCCCCCCACCACCACGTCTGATAGTGTGTTTTCGATGTTTGGCGGGGGCCCGAAGAGGGAGAAGAGACGGGAGGAGGACGAGGAGGGTGAGGATGAGCCGTCTGGGTCTTCGAAGAAGAAGGAGGGGGATGTTGCGGTGAGTTTTGGGGAGTGAAGTTTTTATTTGGTCTATTTTCTTCTCTCTTTTTGGTGTTTTTTTTTTCTGGTGCTGTTATGCTTTTGTCTTTTTTTGCCCTACTTTTTATCTTCTTTTTCGCACTGGTTTGCTAGATTTGTGAGGGACTTTTTTTTCATTTTTTGTCTATGGATATTTCTCACTCCTGATATGTTGTGAAATTACCTCTTCTTTTTTTTTTTTTTTTTTTTTTGCTCTCAAAAACTCGTTGTTTTGAGATGGACACTGCGTTTTTCCCGAGTCTCTTTTTCTCTATTTTTCCCGCCACTCTTATACTGTCGGAAAACCTCTCTTACACTTTTCTGAACAAATATGTTGTTTCTGTAACTGACATGACGCCTTTCATTTTGGCTGATTATGATGTAGGATGAGGAAGAAGTGGACGTCCACTTCGAGCCTGTCGTGCACCTTACCGAGAAGGTCGATATCAAGACAAACGAGGAGCTGGAGGAACAGACCTTTAAGATGCGTGCGAAGCTTTTCAAATTCGACCGTGACTCGCGAGAATGGAAAGAGCGTGGAACCGGCGATGTCAGACTTCTTAAGCACAAGGAGAACCACAAGACACGTCTGGTTATGCGGAGAGATAAGACTCTGAAAGTTTGCGCGAATCATTACAGTATGTGTTTGGGCCCCGCTACCTTTTTTTTTTTTTTTTTTTGACAGAAAGAAAAAAAGGAAGACGCTTGCTTTTTGGATGATGTGTTCCGTGATGTTGAGGGTAGGAATGGTTCCACTGATGTGAAATTTTTCTTTTTAGTTGTGCCTGATATGAAGCTGGCTCCCAATGTCGGTAGCGACAGGAGCTGGGTGTGGAATGCCGCTGCGGACGTTAGTGAGGGTGAACCCGAAGCACAGACATTGGCTATCCGCTTTGCTAATAGCGAAAGTGAGTCCTAACCGCCAGCCCTTGCCTCCTCTCTATCCCTCCTATGTATATATGTAGTTACTAACTCGCGCCATTTTCTGCAGATGCGAACCTCTTCAAGGAGGCCTTCGAGAAGGCCCAAGAGGAGAATGAGAAGCTTTTCGCCGCTGCTGCTGCTAGCGAGTAAAATTCAATAGCCCGACCTGGGACTATATCGACGCTCTTACCCTGATCATCATCATAAATATCATCATCTTCGAGAACAATTTACACGTCACTGAGAGAAAGACGAGTGGTTTCACAGCACGTGCTATTCCCCGTATGGATTCGAAACCCCACTCCCCACATCACCATGATATCACCATCACCATTCCCTCTCCTTGTGGACTCCCCGAAAAATCCCATTTCCCGCCTTTATAACCCCTTGCAAAAGCCCCAATACCCCTCCGCCTTTTTGGTCAACGAGACTGCTTTTCCCCCGCTTCCCATTCGATGATGGTGTGTGTTTGTCTTATGAAGCAACGGTGTAGATGAAGTATCTTTTATATTCCTCCCCCTCCCCCCCAAAAAAAAGAAAAAAGCCAAAAAAGAAAAAAGAAAAAAAGAAAAAAAGAAAAAAAAGAAAAAGAAAAAGAAAAAGAATGAAACGAAAAAAGCCAATACAAAACGAGATAAATTTGAAACGCTCATGACTTATAGAAGTTGGGAACATCCGGCGAAATGAAATATGGTTCAAAGTCAAGGCTTCTTCTTTCTCACCTCAACTACGGCATGGGAGGAGGGATTTAAGAAGGGAAGAGGGGACAAAGGACAACACAGAAAAAAGAAAGCACGAAAAGAAGTTCAGAACAATAATATTTTTGCGGTACATAGAACGAAGCATCTCAATCACAATTCCCCGTTCCACCCCCCCCCCCCCCCCAACCCGAACAAGGGGCTCCCAATGGATTTGCCATCCAAGGCTGTCATGCCTCCCGGTTAGCCCCATCCCGGCCGGTTGGTTTTTTTTTTTTTTTTTTTTTTTTTTTTTTTTTTTTTTTTATATATTTCATAACGAGGGGCGAGTCATCTCTGAAAGGGTTTGTGTTGGAGTAAAGATGCTCCTTATTATTATCTCGTAGAGAAAAGAATTTAGCCTATTTCCAGAATCCTGTTTGCTATTTCCAAAGTAGATGTTGTTCTGCTTATTTTATATTGTATAAATCAAGCCCTTTCATTTATTTGGCTGTGGAGCGCAAACCGCGACCACGAAAGGGACAAAGCAGCATGAAGCCAACTCGTGAATGAAAAAGGGAAACCGAATGAACAAACCTCAACATTATTTACAAAATACAATTTAAATATATTTATTTTTTCTCTTTGAAAACTCAAAATAACCCAGAAACACCGCACCTTGTGTTTCCTCCGCCACTGTTGGGTAAATATATCATCATCTTTCTCAGGAGCTTTAACCATTTTTTAGCCCGAAAAGCTTAGCTCTCCACCCAACCACAACCACCGCCCATTGACGACCAGTAACAACGAAAACACTACACACACAAAATCTTCCTAACACGGCCGAACCAAAGAGGGCGAACAACAAAGCAGGAAAGGAAAACGGAGGATTAAGCAGACCAACATGCCCGACGTGAGTGAGCTCTTTTCTATTCCCAATCTCCCCCATCTCTCTCAGAAGGCGCGCGTAGACGTGCGGAATGGCGCGAACTGCGAAAGCGACAACGGATGGCGCTCTCCTCTGCTTGGCCCCCCGCCCCCCCCCTCGGGCGGCGGTCCCCTTACAGAACTCATCAGCTAATCTATTCTCTCTTCTTCGGTGGATATCGAATATCCGTAGGTGAAACGCACAGTCAAGCTCGTCACGGAGCAGAATCTCAAGTTCGTGCCCTCCCCCGCTCTTTTCTGCCCCTCCAACACTCCTCCCCCCTTTCTCCCTCAGTATGCTGTTCCCCTCTCCAACCGACATTGCTGTTCGCGTAGCCCTAGATGCTATGCACCCCCTCTGGCTCCTCGCGAGTGTATTGGCTTTTTTTTGCGAGTGGCTCCGTGACGCGGGCTAGGAGAACATGGCAGTCCTCCTTTCCTCCAGCTAGAATAGTCAGGTTGGATCCAGTCCAACACCACGTCGCTGCAAAACATTATCTGCAAACTGTATACACGCGGAGCTTCTGGAGGCGAGTGGGAGGGTCTGCTGTACACAGCACGGGATAATATATATGGATGATAGTTAATTGGCGAATGCTTACACGGGTTCTCTGCGCATATAGAGAAGGAGAGACGGCGTCGGAGGTGGAATTGCCGCTGCGGAAATGGTCGATTGAGGTTTACTTGCTGAACGAGCATGGCGAGGAGGTCCCCGCGACGATGTTTGACAAGGTCACCTATACGCTGCATCCGAGTTTTGGGAATAGGGCGATACAGAGTACGTGTTGATGGGCTTGATTCTGCTTACCGCTATCTTGCACATGCATTGCATGCAGGTGTGTACAGCTTTTATTTGTGCTGACAATATTCCAAAAAACTTCGAATGGATAAAATACAGCTTTCAAATCTGCACCCTTCAAAATTGAGGAGGAAGGCTGGGGTGAATTTGATATGCAGATTGGTTTCACAGTTCTGGACAAAGAACATATTGTCAACCATGACCTACATTTCCAGCAGAACAAATATGAGTCAAAGCATGTTCTTGTGAGTCTATACCTGAACTCCCAAGCACCAACCCGCATCTCACCTTCCCTCACTGTGTTTGATGGGTTTGTTTCATTTGACTTCTTCTGTGCATTTGGGTAGACTAATGATGTTTTCATCCATCTAATAATATGGCCATAGACCTTCAAAAACCCCAAACCAGCTCTTCTAAACATTCTCCGAGAATATGGCCCTGTGCCTGGCGATGAGAATGGCGTCAAATCGAAGCGTGGAGGTACGCAGGATGAGGGCTCGAAGAAAAAGAAGCGGATAGATAAGAATGTATGTTTATAGTACCTCCAGTTTCCACTCCACCCTCTCAAAACAATGAATATGTTCCGGCATCCGCCTTTTTCTTACAATATCCTGACTGTCATTTATCAGGTCGACATGGATAAACTGGCAGACGGCCTGCAGAAGCTTGGTGAAGATGACCTCCTCCAAGTTGTGCAGATGGTCCATGATAACAAATCCGCCGACTCGTATACCAAAAATGATATTGAGCGTGCGTTCCTTTTCCTTTATTTACATCTACCCCTACGCTTTTTGTCTCACGCGCACACATACACACGATACTGACATCTCTTGAATACAGAGGGCGAATTCCATGTTGATCTCTACACCCTTCCCGACTCCCTTATCAAGATGCTGTGGGACTTCACACAGGAAAAGGGAGTTGTATGAGCACGTGGCAGAAAAAAAGACACATCCCTCTGATTCTGTTTCTGATTAAACTAATGCCTTTTTCCCTTTCCTTTTCTTTGACCTGTCCTTTCTTCTCTGATTTTTTCTTTTTCTCAATGGATAACTAATGAAATCAAATTCATGCATGGATTCATTTGGTCTCAAGAGCATTTTCCAACTCTATCTCATTATATCCGTTTCTAAGATGTAAATTATGCTAAAATCTTGTTTTGTCCCCCTAACCTTTTTTTCATTTTCTCTCTTACGCCAGTTGTCTCCTGCCGTCTTTTACACTTCAACCATCAACTTTGTATTTTTCACTTTTCGATTTTGCTCCCCCGGTGTTTTCTGGAATGATGAGAAAACCACTCTTGAATTCGTTTCTCCTCCAGTTAACATGCCGTCCTTTTCCTATATCCTGTACTGCCACGTTTTCCATGTCCCCCCCCACCCCCCCTTTTTTTTTTTTTTTTTTTTTTTTTTAATTATAGGGCATACATACATTTGTCCCCTTTCCGCCCGCCGCCTTATGTAGCAAAGTTTAGTACTCTATACTCTTTGGAATTGGAATTGACTATGTTCATTATTTCTTCCCTGGTCTGTGTAGGGTTCACATTCAATTGAATCAGGAATGAAATTCTATTCACTCTGTTTCTACTTTTCGCGGGCTGCGTGTAATAATAATAATATGAAAGTCGGGTTACACGGAGCTGGAGGTTAAGATTTCTCCCTGCCCCACTCATTTAAGCTTAAACGCATCAGTGATCCTGGATGATGTCTATCTCCTACTTCGGAACTTCTTTCAGAATATGCATGCACACATGTTAACTTTTGTTGATTAACCTACATCTACTACGAAATAATCTAAACCGCATGGCCTGGGAGGGAAAAAAAAAAAAAAAAAAAAAAAAAAAACGGAAAGGAGGATGCCACTGCTCCAGCCCAATCAGTAACGTAGCTAAGCAAAGCATATCTCCTACCCCAACCCACTTCGCCGATTATTTGGAGTTTTATCAAACCCCTTTGCTAAAGCAAGAAAGACGATTTCGAGACAAAAAAAAATTAATGAAGCTCTCGGCCCGAGGAAAATTTAAGCATGGCGACTAAGCTGGCCTCGAAAAAAATGTCCCACTATCACCGAGTTGCTTGCTCGCAGTGGGTCCTCACGCTATTGGATTAACTAGCGCCGTTCCTTGTCAAATCAGAAGGGCGTGTTGTTCTAGGCAGGGCGTCCCATGGCCTCGAAAAGAAGCCCACGCAGTTCAAGATGAGAGGGAAACGTGTCGCGATAACCAGAAACGTCTGGCCAAGTGTTCTTATTGCGGTGGAAGTGGGCAAGAACACATGAACGAACTTCGAACGAGGAGCGGTGGTGAATTTAAGCTCCCTCCCAACGGAGAAACAAGCTTAAAAGAGCCTCACGGGCCAGCTGCTGAGATAAGCGTCAAAAATAACTTAACTAAGTTAACTAGTTAACTAGTTAGTTAATTATCCAGGCTAACATCTTTATTTCCAACTTATGAAAGTAATGACTTCTATTGCGCTTGTTCAATCATAATTTATTGACGTCATCTCACAGGACAAGGAATCCATGAAGATTGATTAATCAACATGAATGACTAATTCAATCCCCAGCTCCCGCTAAGACGGCAGACTCCAAGCTCGGCGGGTGGTCCAGTTGACAGTGATTGGCCGGTTTTGGATGATACGAAGAGGTGAACTTCGAGAACCAATCAAACTTGCCTGTCTTTAAGGAACCCAGAAGCATGTACGGATCGACCCGTCCGTAAACGGAGGAAGGCTTCAGCAGTTCAATAATTATTCAGCATGGAGATCGTCCTAAGCTTGTAGGTGGCGGCAACACGAAGCTCCACGTCCAATTGCGAAATCGGCGGGGTTGAGCACAATCTTGGTTGGCACGCCCTTGTGAGACGACGCGGTGTCTGTATACGGGTTAGGCTCACCCTTTTGTCGAGCGTTCTTAAAAGACCGTGCTCTAGCACGGCTTCGTTCACAGATTGCGATTAATAATAATGATGAGCGGTTGAGCGATGAGGTCATTTATGGTCTGATGGACTGCTTCTCGTTTATGTCAATATGATATGCAGCCCGTAGAAATGAGAGGTTTCAACAAAAATGAGAAGACAAGAGAAAATGGATGCATGTATTTATCCAGCTATGCAATAGCTCTTTATTGTTTTTGCCGCCACAGGAAACCATTCGGGTCAAAGCAGCTGTACAAAGTAGAATCAGATTCAACTCCGACAGCTAATAATATACAGAATGTTTCGCTGACAACTAGCGGGGGGTCTGAGCCCCTTCCCCATAGTTTGTCCCTGGCCCACGCCCTGTGGTGTCATTTTGTGGAGACCTGGATCGCAGATTAGCGAGCGGGAAATTTTTTGTAATTCATGGATGCCATTGAGAGAAGAAGTGTTGTTCTTGTGACTCTATACTAAGTTCGGATCTATAAAGATGAGAGCTCGCCTCCCCAAAGACATGTTCATATAGTACCAAATAATTATTTCATAGTCAACTTTAAAAAAACAGTTTTACCATCATACTTCTTTACTCCTTATAGTTCCTCAATCTGTGCTTGCTGCTGTTGGGCGACGCGTTTATCATCACTGATCCCACTTGTCCTATTTCCCCCTTGGTTCGTTCTCAAGGGATTTATATACCCGCCCGATATAGGATTTAGATACGGAAATATAGACAGCACAATGGCTACCTCAGTTACAGCCCGTAGCTCAAATGATTTCGATACCCTCTCTCTACGCTCGAAGCCTTCGGTGATAATTTCTCTCAAGAATCAGCAGGGATCCCCAATCAACTCATATACAACTCTTGATAAAATCGAAGGAGAAGTTAGCGTCACATCTGATTATGATGTCTGCTTTACAAATCTCTCTATTTCTTTTGAAGGTAGGACCTAACCTTCTCCTAGTCATACAATCGTCTACTTAGGGCCATTGCTAAGTGCGATTCAACAGGCACATCTAGAACCGTCATAGAATCACCTGGAATGTCAGGTCCTGCCATTGGTCGATATTCCGCATTTCACACGTTTTTGCGCCTTGTGCAGCCGATCGATGAGCAACAATATCCCCAGGCTGGGATTATCAGTGCAGGCCAAACATATACATTCCCCTTTACCTTCGTTGTCCCTAAGCATTTGCTCCCCAATTCATGCAATCATAAATGCAATCATCCTCAAGTCCACGCGGAGCACATCCTCTTGCCACCGTCGCTAAGTGATCCAACGATATCGGGGAACGGGGGCACGCTTCTCGATGATATGACTCCCCAGATGACGCAGATTCAGTACGCGGTTAGGGCCCAAGTTTTCAAAGCCAGCCCGGTGGATGCTTCCCTCAAAGTGCTTGTGGACACCAGACAGAAAGTTCGTGTCATTCCGGCAGTGGATCAGGCTCCCCCGTTGAGCGTTCTGGACGACAGCGAGGAGTACCGAATGCGCAAAGAAAAGGACGTTAAAAGAGGCGCCCTAAGGGGCAAAATCGGCCGAATCGTTATGGCCGCAGGCCAACCAAAAGCAATCCCCGTCCCAGCATCAGCTGCAACTCAATCAGCAGAGAGTACTCCCAGCACCATGGTGACCTTGCATCTTCGATTCGACCCTACAGACGAGAACCAACAACCTCCCCGCCTGAGCAGGGTCTGGACTAGGCTGAAGGTAAACACCTTCTTTTCGGCCGAACCATGGGCCGACATTCCTACCAAGAATACATCATTAATGTGGGCCCTAAACCGAGGCGTCTATACCGATACCGTTTCTCTCGCATCTCGCTGCGTCGCATCCGCAAAATGGAAGAAGCACACCGGCACCTCCCCCTGTCCCTCTGCGGCATCCTCCCTTCACCGCCGGGACTCCTTCCAATCAACAAATTCAGTCGAGTCCCTCGTAGGCCCCAGCGCTGAATACGCAGGGGAGACCTACTACACTGCGGCCATCCTGGTACCGATCAGCCTGCCACCCACACGTGCATATGTCCCCACATTCCACTCCTGCCTCTCATCGCGCACCTACACGCTCGAAATCTCTCTTTCCTACAACACACCCAGCGCCAGTCTAACCGTCCCCACACTGGCTGTCCGTGTACCCGTTCAGATATCCACCACAGAGAGCCTTGCAGAAGCTTCTGCAGCGCGTGGGACGCCGGAGAGGAGCAGAAACAGAAACACCGGTGACGAATTCTTCACACCGCGCAGCATCGCGCCCCCACAGGTACATTTCGCTGAGCGCTCATCGGCGCTCTCGACAGGGCCCGGCAGGGGACGAAGCGATACAGTGTTATCAACAGAATCTACCCTGAGCATGGCTCCCCCGGAGTATTCGAACGCTTCGTCCCCGTTGGCCAGGCGGCGGTCAAATCCAACGATTGTCAGGGCTGCTTGTTGATTTAACAACCAAATAACCGCAGCCATACGGCTCGATGTATCGATATTTAATTTTGGTTTTGGCGCTTTATGCATGGGTCCTTGGGATTCGGTTTTCTGTTTATTCCATTATATTTCATACCATGACCTCGATTTCGGTTTACGATGACGATTTTCTTAACACGCGCACTCACTTTCTTATAGTAATTTTTTCTTTTATTTTTCTTTTCAGATATCATTTTGTTTTTCTGTTGTCGTTGCGCTTTTGAATGAGCTCTCGAATATACCCTACATATGCATATCTCATTCTGTCTTTTTCCTGTTCACTGGTGTTTCCGGTTGATCTTTTTGTCACGGCCCAAAACACGATATAGTAAACTGCTGGACGTATAATTTGTCACTGAAAAGCCCTGTTGTCTTTATTGTTTCCATTTCATATCTTTCTTGTTTCTCTGGAGGTTGCCACAATATTGCCAGATTCGTCCAATAAATCCCTGCCACAAAGGCCAGTTGTTAATGAACTCCTTGTGATTTCCCTGGTTTTGCTCGGGTAGCTTCAATGGCTCCTAAGAAGGATGGGAATTTCTTGTCTGCATTTTAACAAAACTCGCTCAGCATGTGATTTAAATATGTAATACTTTAATGGGATAACCTTAAGTCTATTCATATCATGTGTGATAAAATATTGGATAATAACCGTAGACGGCTGCCTACAAGAAAGTTTTCAATAGTTAGGTTAGTATGACACCGGTTCATCAATATTCGCCAGTTGTGGATACCAACTTTTTTTGTCTCTCGAAAAGAGGGAAATGCTCCATCCTCGGATCGAATATATTGAGTGTGGAAATACACGTATATATTTATAATCTGGGGCAATCTCCAGGTCACCCACCTGGCTGCGACGCACATGGAAGCACACTTCCTGTGTCTGTGGTTACATCCATTCCAGAGCACGGCAAAACGGGAAAGCAAATTCAGAATAACCGAACATGATATGTTCTTGAATAGCAGGCAGTCTTCGGTTGATGAGTAGCTAGCGTATAGAACTTTCCTGTTGACCCTCTGATGCACCGCTGTCGCCGCGAATCTACCACCGGTAATTAGACGCTAGCTTACCTACGGCAGTCTATAGTGACAAATGTAACAAATGAATGTTGATTTTATAGCCATGCACCGATTACACTAGTCCTAATATAGTTAATATATTATTACATATGGTTTAGTCAGTCTTGGCTTTAAGACTATGAGCTCCACCTCACAGATCAACAAGGTGTATGGAGGCCCCTTCCGCCCTGAGTATGAAGGCCCCCAGGTATATAGATATAGAGTGCCTCTATGTATAAAGCCCCTGAGTATAGAGTGGCCCCGGGTATAGAGACCTCTGAGCATAGAGACCTCTGAATATAGATTCCTCTGAAGACTGGCCTGAGCATATAGAGACTGTTCCAGGTTGAGAGCCCTCCACTGATATGAGCATTATTTCATACAATCTTCAATGAGAAGATCTTGATTGCTAATACAATCAGTATCATCAATGTGTGCTCATTTATAACACTAGTATAAAATACTCATTTGTCACATTTGTCACTATAGACTGCCGTATTTTCCCATTGGCGCATTCTCTCTGCTTCCAGTGTGGCACTTGGTGCGCAATGATGATTCAAAAAGCTGAGGCGGGGCTTGGGGAAACGATCTATCAGACCACTTCCGCGCCTCCAAGCAAATGTGCTAACACGGCCTGTTCAGCGAGGCTGTGTGCGTCCGCTCAAGACAATAGGTAGGTTTAGCTTGCGGCGAGGTTTTGCCTCACATTCCAACTGAAGAAAGGAAGCCGAAGTAATTAAAAGAGAAATAAAGGTTGGAATCACCCGCACCCGGGGACTGATTATTAGAACCCATCCGAAATCGGGGTTCCAGCTTACGTCCCAACATGTAGCAAGGTGTCAGAGAAAGGTTTCGTAATGGCTTGTCTCAGGAAACTAATCTCACTGGGATCCAAAGGTGTCGAGACAGGTGCAGCTGAAATAATTGGCAAAGCA